CACACACACCCCCTACCACCACCATGGGGAGGCCCCGATCAGCCAAAGCCGCCTGATGAGCATTAGATGCTAGCGTGCAACTGTGGGCTCCGGAAATGATGCTGGAAGTACTCTAGGCTAGAAAGAGTAACTCTCAAAACAGCTTGCCCTTCGTGGGGTGCAGGAAGAGGGTGGGAGAAATCAGACCAGTTACCAACCAGAAAGAAAGGCATCCTTGATAGAAGGCAAGAACATTCTCAGCCCCAGCCCATCCATGCCAAGAAGACTAAAAAATAGTTATCTTCTCTTTAGATACGTTTTGTGGCTTTCTTCAGTTTGAAAGAGGAAACCTCCCCAAGTTTGAAGGAAATAACGCAGAGCTTAAAAAAATACAATGAAGTCAGAAAATAGTATAAAAAAAATACAATGAAGTCAGAAAATAGTATAGAAGTTATACATCAAAATGTCACCTGTGGTTCACATATATTAGAAACAGGAAAGATTAAGTCAATTAAACCCACAAAGCTTCCTGAATTAAAGAAATGTAATAGGTTTCATTGTTTTTAGATTTCAACTCAGTAAGTATGTTCTAAAGTTTAACTTTGTTTTCTTTAGTTTCCCTAAAAAGCAAATTTGGGCTGTGGTTTTTTTTCTCAGGGCTAGATTCTCTTAAGGGCCCTTGGTTTCTTTGTCTTGAACAAGGAAAGAGCTCCAGCTTTTCCGCCAAAGTTGGCTGCTTTCCTTAAGACCCACTTCATTGAGATATAACTGACATGGAAGAAAATGACCCACATTGAATGTACAGCTTGTTGAGTTTTGACAAACACACATGCCATGCAATCTGAGTCAAGATTCAGAATGTTTTCATCTTCCCAGAAAGTTCCCAAGAGAATGTTTGTGGTCAGTCCTTCACCCTCCTCCTCAGACAACCAGTGATCTGCTCTCTGCCATTAGGAATGAGTAGATTGAGCTTTCTAGAATTTTTTTTTTTAAGTTTATTTATTTGAGATAAAGAGAGGGAACGAGTGGGGAAGGGACAGAGAGAGGGAGATAGAGAATCACAAGCAGGCTGTTCGCTGGCAGTGCAGAGCGCAACATGGGGCTCAGTACCACAAACCATGAGATCATGACCTGAGCCAAAATCAAGAGTTGGTCGCTCAACCAATTGAGTCACTCAGGCATCCCTTTAGAATTTCATATAAATGGAATCATATCGTTGTGTGTGTGTGGCTTCTTTTTCTCAGGATTCTATAAAGCTGGGCACTTCTGAGCTGAAATTATATATCCTGAATGGTTGCAAGAGGTCAGCTGACTCGGGGTAGACTCCCAGCAGCTCCCAGGGGTTTAGAGAACCAGATTTTGTGCCTAGGTCCAGGTGGTGATGCCTGTGTGCTGTATGAAGCTGTGTTACATCTACATGTTCTGTAACTGGAATGATTCACTCTCAAGTATTATCTTAACACTCTTCAATTCCACCCCCCCCCCAATGCAGATAGCATTATTTCTTTAATTATAAAAGTAATACATACTTACTGTTAAAAAAAATATAGACAGAAACATATAATGTAAAGGTATCTAAATCCCAACCAATTAAAAAAATAACCACTGTGACCATTACTTTTTCTTCTGGACTTTTCTGTCATATATGCATAATTTTTCTATTGTTTATAAAAATATAAAAATATATAAAATATAAAAATATATATATTTTATAAAAATATAAAAATATATTGTTAAAAAATATAGACAGAAACATATAATGTAAAGGTATCTAAATCCCAACCAATTAAAAAAATAACCACTGTGACCATTACTTTTTCTTCTGGACTTTTCTGTCATATACGCATAATTTTTCTATTGTTTATTTGCTTTTAGGTGAAAAATGGGGACCTACTCTACTATTATTTAACCTATTTTTTTCAGTTAAGAATATAGTGTGAACATTTTTTTCCATCTCAGCAAATATAAATCAATATACTTCATATTTTTAAAGGATGTATAGAATACCACAAGTTTAAAAAATTCCAATGTAAAGAACATTTAGGGTTTTCCCAATGTCTTTGCTGTATGGGAACAAATATGTATATTTCTTAATACAGTGTGGGGAGAGCAGAGACCCTACAAACCCCTTATTCCTATTTTATAGGTTTTATTTTTTATTTTTATTTTTATTTTGAGAAAGAGAAAGAGAACAAGCACAGGCTGGGAAGAGGGGCAGAGGGAGAGAATTTTTTTTTTTTTTTAATTTATTTTGGGGCACGTGGGTAGCTCAGTTGGTTAGGTGTCCGACTTTGGGTCAGATCATGATATTGTGGTCCATGGGCTCAAGCCCTACGTCGGGCTCTGTGCTGACAGCTCAGAGCCTGAAGCCTGCTTCAGATTCTGTGTCTCCCTCTCTCTCTGACCCTCCCCTGCTCACACTCTCTTTCTGACTCTCTCAAAAATGATGAAATATTTTAAAAATTATTTATTTTGAAAGAGAGAGAGAGAGAGCATGAGCAGGGGAGGGGCAGAGAGAGAGGGAAGAGAGAATCCCAAGCAGGCTCTGAACTATCAGCACAAAGCCTGATGTGGGGCCTGAACACATGACCCCTGAGATCATGATCTGAGCGGAAAGGAAGTCAGATGTTTAACCAACTGAGCCACCCAGGTGCCCCAGAGAGACAGAATCTTAAGCAGGCTCCATGCTTAGTGCAGGGCCTGAGAAGGGGCTTGATCCCACGACCCAAAAATCATGACCTGAACCAAAATCAAGAGTCAGACACTCAACCAACTGAGCCACCCAGGCACCCTTCCTTATTCTTATTTTAAATTTTATAGAACCAGAAAAGAATAAGCAGGGCTGAGAGAGATGCGCAATTAACCTGAATGCAAATGTCATGATTTGAGCACTACTGGTCGAAGGGGAGAGAGAAAGAGCAAAGGCAAAACGAAACTGCTCCAAACAAATCAGGGAGCCAAGAAGGAGAGCAGGAAATGCACCCAGGGAACTTGCAACTCCTCACCCGTCCCTCCAGACAAAAAATGAGTACAACCTGTACATGCACATGCACTGGTGACCTGAGATACAAACGGGGACATTTGTACCTGCTTTTTGTCTCATCTTTAGTCTCAGCCCCTGAAGATTTTAGTATCTGAGGGGACTTGCTCATAAGTGAATGTGGGACCCCACTCTTTGTGTCAGTGTCCTGACTGTTCCACTGAACTCTTCCAAAGCATGGCTCACAGCCCCAACTCCTCGGTCTCCCTAGGAAGTCAGAGAGGGACACAGCTTCCTCCCCTCTCCACCAGTTTGCTGGAAGAGGACATGATTTCACCAAAGAGGAAGTCACAAAAGATCTACTCTAAGACAGGGCTGAAAATCTTCAGGTGGCCTTTATCCAGGCATGCATTTCCTGCTGGAGACAAGTTCCTACGTTTAATGGCTGTTTCAACACAACACCAAGTATTGTGTACTGATGTGGGTTTCTGCACATCCAGAATCCTTAATAAGCCTTCAATGGTTAGCTTGGGACTAGTGAACCATCCTTTCACTATCTTGACTCAGAAATGACCTCTAGGCCCAAAGCCAAATAGCCAGGAGCAGACAAAGCTAAATCAAGGTGCATTTGGGTCAGGAGCTTCAAGTCCTGCCCTCTCCTCTTGGTAAAATAATCACAGAGGAAAACATACTTCTACTGAGAAACCTGTTAACCAGCCTCTGGCTTATTCCTCTTATTTTTATCAGCAAGAAAAAAAGAAAGGTCAAGTGAGTAAACCACTTTAGGTCTTGGAGTTACTCTCAGTTTGCATTCCAGCTCTTCCACTTAACACCTGAGCTTAGATACCTCTCTGAGCCTCCGGAGTTACTAAGTGAATTAGAAGCAATGAGGTTGTGCCCGTATATGTGAACTAGAGTGCAGATTCTTGTATCTGGATTGCCTAGAGCTTTTTCACGAAAGTTCCATAGAATCTCATAATCATGTGCGTCATTGGAATGATCCTACAATACATTTTCAGGGACAAGTTCCTTGATTTCTCACCCTTAGGCTGAGAAGTTTTCCCCCTTAGTCATATGCAGCTTAGAAAAACTTCTCACCAAATCATGTGATTTGGGCTCACCCTGGCAAACCAGATTTTCTTCATTGCTGGCAAGGCCAAACACTCAGGTTTGGATGGGAACTCTGGGAACCACATTTGGAGCTGATGCATGATATCATTTAAGTGTTTTTGCTAACTGTGTGTTCTAGTAACTGTGTTTTTTTTCTTTTTGTTTGTTCTCAACGAAACAGTACAACAGGGGCATCTGGGTGGCTAGAAAAGTTGGTTAAGCATCCTACTTTAGCTCAGGTCATGATCCCGTGGTTTGTGGGTTTGAGCCCTGCAATGGGCTGGGTGCTGACAGCTCGGAGCCTGGAGCCTGCTTCGGACTCTATGTCTCCCTCTCCCTCTCTCTCTCTCTCTCTCTGCCCCACCCTCACTCATGCTTTCTCTCTCTCTCAAAAATAAGTAAACTTTAAAAAAAAAAAAAAGAACCAGTACAATAGAAATTACCCATGTACTTGGTATATAATAAGGTAAGTATGGTTTCACAACATCTGTGTGTGAACTTGGTCTTAATGTACAATAGATTTCTTACTATGGATCTCAGTCAACAAATATTAACTGTAACATGAAATGCTACCAGGCTGCCCCCTCCAGGTGGCTCTAACTCAGCCCTCCCACAGCTGACAGCTCATAGCTGGTTCTGCCTGCCATTCTTCCACCTCTGAGGCCTGAAACCTGCCAGCATTGCTGCTTGCCTCGCCAGACCCCAGGGCACATCTGAAGAGAAGCACCGGAAATCTAGCTGTACATTTCAGACGTTCCTACTCTTTTGGGGAGGCGGGGGGAAGGCGGGGTGGGGGGAATGAGTACCTCATTACAATTATGGAAATGAAAATGCTAGGGACCCAAAAGGGAAATCTACTTGAATTTTTGCTTCGCCAGTTCAGATCCCTTCGAGAACCATCAGCAAACAGTAAATGGTCAAAATGGCTCACCTCTCCCAGTGCACAAGTATTTGCATTTATGGCATTCCAGGAGTCCTTCAGCCTCTGACTGGTAATATTCCACTCCCTCTTGTCCAGACCTGGGGTTCGAGGGCAGGTATCTCCCTGAAGTAAGTTCACTATAACCAAAAACATACATGGTCATTAGGGGCTTCAAATTCAAGAGCTTGTTCAGTATTAGAACACTGAACATCTCGAGCTGGGCCCAGACATTAAAGAGATGGGCAGAACAGAAACAAAATTTGTTGTACTACTTCATATTCCAGAGATTTCCCTGGTTTAGTGGTCCCACAGGGTATCCAAATACTTGGCCCAACATTGTTAAGCTACCACATCACATATCTCTACAATTCTGAACACTGATTTGATGCTAGTCTGTCCACCTGCGGCTAACTAGGTAGCCAGGAGCCACCTTTGTGAGCCTAGGTTTTCAGTCATCACAGACCCGGCTTTCTTTAAAACTAGTTTGCATTCAAGGAGCCTGGGTGGCTCAGTTGGTTAAGCATCTGACTTCAGGGGCGCCTGGGTGGTTCAGTCGGTTGGGCGACTGACTTCACCTCGGGTCATGATCTCACGGTTTGTGGGTTCGAGCTTCACATCAGGTTCTGTGCTGACAGCTCAGAGCCTAGAGCCTGCTTCCAGTTCTGTCTCCCTCTCTCTGCACCTCCCCTGCTAGTGCTCTGTCTCTGACTCTCAAAATGCAAATAAATGTTAATTAAAAAAAATTTTTTTTAAAAAGTATCTGACTTCAGCTCAGGTTATGATCTGATGGCTTGTGAGTTCAAGCCTTGCATCGGGATCTGTGCTGACAGCTCGGAGCCTGGAGCCTGCTTTGGATTCTGTATCTCCCTCTCTCTGTCCCTCACACTCTGTCTCTCTTTCTTTCTCTCTCTCTCAAAAATAAATAAACATTAAAAAAACAAAAACAAATTAGTTTGCATTCACAAGACTCTGATGCCCAGGCTGGCATTCTCTTCATTCTCTTGTTACTTTAGAAAGATCTTAGTCTGCAATAACTCTCTAGACCTATGGGTAGTACAGACAACTTTGGAAGTCATCTCTCTCTCTCTTCCTCTGCTAGTTCTGGCACTTTTTTTCTTTTCCCCTTTAGCCAGCATATCCTGAGCTTTGTCTGAGAAGCAATGGTGGGGTCTGCATTCAACCTACTCGGCTCCAGGGATCCTTCTAATGTTCTCATCATGGATCTCTTGGGTTTGAAATCCTTAAACTCTTATGGCCTTGGATAAAGTCCAAACTTTTAGCACAACACAGGAGAGCCCTTGCTCTTCTCTCTTCACTCACAACCTCCTACTCACAGACCCAGCCATAATAAACTTCCTTTCTCCACCCCCAACCCCCCACTCCCACCCCCCAAAAAGATGACAGCATTCCCATGCTCTAGGTCACTATGGAAGCTATTTCTCTGCTTGGAACCCCTTTCATCTTCCTCTCCCAGTCTTCCCATTCTTGCCCCTTTTCCAGAACTCAGCTTTGTGGGCATTGTGCTCCAAGAAATCTTCCAGATCTTAGGCAGGGGATCTGTTCTCTTCAAATTGGCTTCCCCTGAAGTGGCACATTTCACACTGTGCTGCAACCAGCCTGTTTACTTGTCTGTCTCCTACCAGACAGTGGACACTGCCAGGATATCTCACCCATTAAGTAATGGAGCTCTGGCTCCTACATCCTGCTGATTAAATAAAAGCTTATTGTGTAGAGGAAATGTGGAAATAGATTGTCCTTTGGTTTCAAACCACCAACTGTCTGTGAGCCAAAAACACAAAAGTATTCCCTTCACTCGTTTGGGGCTGGTGTGGAGGACTGGGACACTGACTTAGAAGGAAATCCAAAATGTAGCTCTGAAGAGCTACCAAAGCAATTTGGCTTTGGTCAGGGATGAACAATAACTAGTGCCTGTGACTATATCTGGGCACACCCTTTTTCATAGTTTGGCTAGTTGGTTTTAGATAATGTAACATAAGCTCAAGATAACAGCTTTCCCCGCTGTGTGGACACAACAGGGAGGGAGGCCAAGCTTAAGCCTCCAAATCCTATAGCAGAGAGGAACCTGACTCCTCCTTAGAGAAGAGGGCAGGTGTCAACCAGAAAGCAGCCATCACTCTAGTACTTTTCTCCTTGTTGGCCTGGCACATAATCTAATCTGGGCATTCAGTAATATTTGTGGAGTTGGATGGAATGTTTGAGGGAAAAAAGACCAACACCCTAGAAAGAGGTGTGGGGTCTAGGACTGCCTCCTCTCCTCCCTTCCATCCTTACCCTCTCTCAGCATACTAAGTCCTGCAGAACAGCAAGAGGCTTTCACCTCACAAGGCCCATAATGGAATTCTCTGTGTTCTACCAGGCAAGGATGGCATACTGTGTTCATTCAGCGGGGTGGGATCTGAAACAATCATGGGATTTGAAGAGGCTGCCCGGAAAGACTTCAATGACAAAGGTAGGGAAATCTCTGTCCTTCGGTGGGAGTTTTAGGTGGATTTAGTTCTTTGGCTAAACCGGTAGCCTCTCCCAGCTGTCTGTTTTGAAACGCATATACCCCTAGAAGAAGTTGCTGATTCAACTATTAACCCTTCCCTGGGCGGCTTTTAATTAGCTCTTGGCACTGGGACTTGGAGGTGGGCTGGTTTGGGAACACAGGACAAAGGTCTCAGGGTCTGAAGCCCCAAGGGGCAGTCGTGTGGGAGGAGCCTCAAGTTAACACCACCTACTTAGTCTCCTTCCCACCCCTTCCCTTTCCTGTCCTGAAGTCCTCTCTTCCTCCTTACCTGGTCCCTGGCCCTGCCACTGCTAACAGGAGTGGTTTCTACTTTGTTAATCAGGTTCGGATCAAGAAGTGGGGGCACCGTAAGGTTTTCTTTCCCTCCCAGGTCACCTCTAAGAGCGCAAAAGGGAGGGATGGCACTGTCTTTCTTTAAGCCGGCCTCTTAGGCCACGAAGCCGGGGGCGTGGGAGCAGCGCAGACAGGCCGCAGACCCAGGCTTCCTGGGTGCCCAGGTCTCAGGGCGCCCCTTAACCTCACCTCACCTTGCCGGGTCACGGTGCCCGAAGCGCTCCTTCCTCGGGAGCGACGGCTCCGTGGTTTCCCAAGGCGCGGGCCAGGGGGGCGAGGCTGAGTCCCAGGTTGGCTTGCGGGGTCCGTCCCGTGTCCGGCTCTGGCGGGACTTTTCCCAAACTCTTTGTTCACCCGCGCGAAGGTCTTCGACCCTGTGTCTGTCGTGGCGGGGGTCCCGGTCCCTCCCCCTGTCCCGGTCCCCGTCCCTGCGCTCGCCCCCGTTTCTCTCCCTGCGCCGGTTTCCGTGTCTGTCCCGCTGTCGCTCGGGGTGGAGGTCTCGGTCCGGGCGGGAGTGCCGGTCTGGGTCCCGCTCTCTCGGTCGGGCGCGGGGCTCGCGAGCCCCTGACGTATCTTCCATGGCCCAGTTCCGCGTCCCCACCCCGGATCGACCCGAGGGCAACAATCCACAAGTTTCCCGGGCAGGTGGCCAAGCCCGGGGGCGGGGCGGGACGCTCACCTGCGCGCACGCGCACTAGCGGCACGGCGGGCTCGGTGAGCGCTCACCTAAGCGCGCTGCCGGCAGGGGGCGCGGCTGGGCGCTCGAGAAGCGGGAAGCGCGTGCCGGGCTAAGGCTTGGGGGTGTGGCTCGCAGCTCTGCGCGCAGCGGAGCTGACGACCTCCCGCCCACCACACCTCGTCTTCTTTGGCGTATCCTCTCAGTGACCCTGAAAGGTGGGTGGCAAAGGGAAGTGAGTTCTCGACTTTCTCAGCCCCGCGGGTGTGCGTTCCCGGAGCGTGCCCATCCGTTCGCTCACCCATTTTTCTGGCCCTCCAAACACCCAGCCACCCAGCCGGCTTCCCTTCCACTGGCCCTCTCTGTCTTCCTCCCTTTTCTGCTGTCCTTACAACTGTGTTGTTCGGGGGTGCTTGTGGCCAGTTCGTCTACTGCAATAGCCCTGGGCTTATGAACGTTTTTTAAAATGACTAACCTACACGGAATAGGCAGCTTTTTCTTTTGTCAAGTGAGGATATTTAAAAACATAAAATTGCCGTCTGTTAATGAATCCTTTAGACAAATATATGTGAGAACCTACTCTAGCGCGCCCTGGAGATACAGTGGCAAACTCTCATTGCAGGCGCTTCCCTTCTGGCGTGTGTGGGAAAAGAGAGAAAGGGCCCTAGAGGAAGAAAGAAGACAATGTCTAAAATTTAACAAGGAGGAGGGCAGGTTTCTTTCTGCAGGTCTGAGAAGGGACCTTTGAGTTCAGTCCTGGATGAGAGGAGGCAGCTTTGGGGATAGCTGACAGAACGTTCCAGAAAGAGAAGCTGAATAATGCAGAGAGCTGGAGAAGAAGGTTTCTGCGAGGGGAGTGAGAGAGGATGGGATGACGCTGAGAGGTGGAGCAGGTGATGTAGGGTCTTTATGGTGAAGACTCTGCATTTTCGTTCTGAAAGTAATGGGAAAACACTGAATAGTTTTGAGCAAGAGAACGACTTGTTCTGATTTATGGTTTTACAATACTACTCTGGCTTTTGTGTGGAGGGTGGATGACAGGAGGCCAAGGGTAGAGGCATCAGATGAATTAGGAAGCCAGCAAAGCAGAGGCGCCTGGGTGGCTCAGTCACTTAAGCATCCGACTCTTGGTTTTGGCTCAGGTCATGGTCTCTCAGGTTTGTGAGTTGGAGCCCCATGTTGTGCTCCACGCTGACAGCACGGACCCTGCTTGGGATTCTTTCTCACTCCCTCTCTCTCTCTGCCCTTCCCCTGCTCTCTCTCTCTCTCTCTCTCTCTCTCTCGCAATAAAAAAATAAACTTTAAAGAAAGAAGAAGAAAAAGAAGCTACCAAAGCAATCTGATGGGTGATAGTGACTCAGTTGCTGGTGAGAAATGTTCAGATCCAGGTGGTTTGGAGGAAGAACTTACAGGATGGATTGGATGTAGGGGAGTGAAGGCAAGT